TCCGTGTTCACATTTTCTCTATGTTCTCTGTGTTCTCTATGTTCTCTGTGTTCTCTATGTTCTGTGTTCACATGCTCTCTGTGTTCTCCGTGTTCACATTTTCTCTATGTTCTCCGTGTTCACATTTTCTCTATGTTCTCCGTGTTCACATGCTCTCTGTGTTCACATGTTCTCTGTTTTCTCTATGTTATCTATGTTCTCTATGTTCTCTGTGTTCTCTGTGTTCTCTGTGTTCTCTATGTTCTCTGTGTTCTCTATGTTCTCTGTGTTCTCTATGTTCTCTATGTTCTCTATGTTCTCTGTGTTCTCCGTGTTCACATTTTCTCTATGTTCTCCGTGTTCACATTTTCTCTATGTTCTCCGTGTTCACATTTTCTCTATGTTCTCCGTGTTCACATGCTCTCTGTGTTCTCTGTGTTCACATGTTCTCTGTTTTCTCTATGTTATCTATGTTCTCTGTGTTCTCTATGTTCTCTGTGTTCTCTATGTTCTCTGTGTTCTCTGTGTTCTCTGTGTTCTCTATGTTCTCCGTGTTCTCTATGTTCTCCGTGTTCACATTTTCTCTATGTTCTCCGTGTTCTCTGTGTTCACATGCTCTCTGTGTTCTCTGTGTTCACATGTTCTCTATGTTCTCCGTGTTCACATTTTCTCTATGTTCTCCGTGTTCACATTTTCTCTATGTTCTCCGTGTTCACATTTTCTCTATGTTCTCTGTGTTCTCTATGTTCTCTGTGTTCTCTATGTTCTGTGTTCACATGCTCTCTGTGTTCTCCGTGTTCACATTTTCTCTATGTTCTCCGTGTTCACATTTTCTCTATGTTCTCCGTGTTCACATGCTCTCTGTGTTCTCTGTGTTCACATGTTCTCTGTTTTCTCTATGTTATCTATGTTCTCTGTGTTCTCTATGTTCTCTGTGTTCTCTATGTTCTCTGTGTTCTCTATGTTCTCTATGTTCTCTGTGTTCTCCGTGTTCACATTTTCTCTATGTTCTCCGTGTTCACATTTTCTCTATGTTCTCCGTGTTCACATGCTCTCTGTGTTCTCTGTGTTCACATGTTCTCTGTTTTCTCTATGTTATCTATGTTCTCTGTGTTCTCTATGTTCTCTGTGTTCTCTGTGTTCTCTATGTTCTCTGTGTTCTCTGTGTTCACATGTTCTCTATGTTCTCTATGTTCTCTGTGTTCTCTATGTTCTCTGTGTTCTCTGTGTTCACATGTTCTCTATGTTCTCTGTGTTCTCTGTGTTCTCTGTGTTCACATGTTCTCTATGTTCTCTATGTTCTCTGTGTTCACATGTTCTCTATGTTCTCTATGTTCTCTGTGTTCTCTATGTTCTCTGTGTTCTCATGTTCTCTATGTTCTCTGTGTTCTCTATGTTCTCTGTGTTCTCTATGTTCACATGTTCTCTATGTTCTCTATGTTCTCATGTTCTCTATGTTCTCTATGTTCTCTGTGTTCTCTGTGTTCACATGTTCTCTATGTTCTCTATGTTCTCTGTGTTCTCTATGTTCTCTATGTTCTCTGTGTTCTCTGTGTTCTCTATGTTCTCTGTGTTCTCTGTGTTCTCTATGTTCTCTGTGTTCACATGTTCTCTATGTTCTCTATGTTCTCTGTGTTCTCTATGTTCTCTGTGTTCTCCGTGTTCACATTTTCTCTATGTTCTCTGTGTTCTCTATGTTCTCTGTGTTCACATGTTCTCTATGTTCTCTATGTTCTCTGTGTTCTCCGTGTTCTCTATGTTCTCTGTGTTCTCTGTGTTCACATGTTCTCTGTGTTCACATGTTCTCTATGTTCTCCGTGTTCACATGTTCTCTATGTTCTCTGTGTTCTCCGTGTTCACATTTTCTCTATGTTCTCCGTGTTCACATTTTCTCTATGTTCTCCGTGTTCTCTATGTTCACATTTTCTCTATGTTCTCCGTGTTCACATTTTCTCTGTGTTCCGTGTTCACATGTTCTCTATGTTCTCATGTTCTCTATGTTCTCTGTGTTCACATGTTCTCCGTGTTCTCTATGTTCTCATGTTCTCTGTGTTCACATGTTCTCTGTGTTCTCTATGTTCTCTGTGTTCTCATGTTCACCTGTTCTCATGTTCTCCGTGTTCACGTGTTCTCCGTGTTCAGTGTTCTCTGTGCTCACCTGTTCTCATGTTCTCATGTTCTCCTGTTCTCAATGTTCTCTGTGTTCTCCGTGTTCACATGTTCTCTGTGTTCACCTGTTTCTCATGTTCTCCTGTTCTCCTGTTCTCATGTTCACCTGTTCTCATGTTCTCAGTGTTCACATTTTCTCTATGTTCTCCGTGTTCACATTTTCTCTGTTCTCTGTGTTCTCTATGTTCTGTGTTCACATGCTCTCTGTGTTCACATGCTCTCTGTGTTCACATGCTCTCTATGTTCACATTTTCTCTATGTTCTCTGTGTTCACATGCTCTCTGTGTTCACATGCTCTCTGTGTTCACATGTTCTCTGTGTTCTCTGTGTTCACATGCTCTCTGTGTTCTCTGTGTTCACATGCTCTCTGTGTTCTCTGTGTTCACATGCTCTCTGTGTTCACATGTTCTCTGTGTTCTCTGTGTTCACATGCTCTCTGTGTTCTCTGTGTTCACATGCTCTCTGTGTTCACATGTTCTCTGTGTTCACATGCTCTCTGTGTTCACATGTTCTCTGTGTTCTCTGTGTTCACATGTTCTCTGTGTTCACATGTTCTCTGTGTTCACATGTTCTCTATGTTCACATGTTCTCTGTGTTCACATGTTCTCTATGTTCACATGTTCTCTATGTTCTCCGTGTTCACATGCTCTCTGTGTTCTCTGTGTTCACATGTTCTCTATGTTCTCTGTGTTCACATGTTCTCTATGTTCTCAGGGTGCAGCAGGTGTCTCAGGAGTACCGGGCCGACCTTGTGGCTCAGATGGAGGAGAGGCAGCTGATGAAGATGTAGAGGCAGATGATGAAGATGTAGAGGCAGATGATGAAGATGAAGATATTTGGGGGGGGGGGGGTGATATATAAATGTGATTACAAAGCAAGTCTCTCGGTTTCTACATTTATATAGATAAATAGATACTGTTCTATTATTATATTAATTTCATTATTATTATTCTAATAATTATTCTAATAATTATTATTGAATTATTCATAGCTATTTTTTAATGATCATTTATATTCTCAGTGGTTTTATTTTCTCTCTTAATTACTGTTACGTTCCCTCCAAAATCTAGGGGTACGAAGGGGAGTAACAAAACACAGAACGACCAGCACGAGAAAAAAGAGAGGAAACTGATCTCTTTGTTCACACATGAGATTTAATCCAACAATAATGGACAACCAGGTCCCACACAGAGACCCAAGACGACGTGCTGCACCCATGCAGCCAGAGGAGAAAGGGAGAGCGACTGCAGCCTTCCTCAGGTCCTATATGGAGGCCCTGATTGGGGATTGGGAGCACCTGGGAGAGAGGCTGCACCTGGGGACAATCAGGCTGCACCTGGAGAATCAGAGGGAGAGAGAGAAAGACACACACACACCCACACACACACCACGGCATGTAACACCCCCCCCCCATAAAACCAAACAAGTGTTTGGCCACAGTTACCAAAAACACTCAGACTATTGGACATGAATCGTGACCCATTGTAATCGTAATCTCACCCACAGTACCGTACATCGGCCACCACCTTATCTGCTCCCCTCTTGTGCTTGATGACGATATTGTAGTCTTGGTGCTGGTCTTTTGACTTTTCCGTAGACTGCTTGGAAGCTGCCACCTGCTGCTTCCAAGCTACACACCCTGCCACTAGATGACCAGGATCAAGACAAAAGAAACATAATCTCTTGGGACCTCGAGTTCTGGTCAAAACACAACCTGCAAACACCTCCGGATGAGTCTGAGCTAGGTCACCACCTGCAGCACCAGGGACTGAAACGTCTACAACCTCAGCAGTAGGATACACTTTACCCCCGGCTATATCGTTACCCATTATGAAATCCACTCCGTCGACAGGAAACTTGGGCAGCACAGCAACTGGAAAGAAACCAGTAGCCAGTTTAGACTGTACCTGGATCTTGTGAAGAGGTGCAGGCACACAACCCATCCCAATACCTCTTACCACCGCACTTGCATCACAGGCAGACTCAGCACTCAAGGGCAGGACACTGGCAAGAATGAACGACTGTGAGCCACCACTGTCTCGTAACACCGTGACCTGCCGCTGGTCCTCCACCTTTCCTGACAGAGAGACAAAAGCAGTAGAGATGAACGGTTTCAAACACTCATCAGGCCCTTTGTTAACAGTGGCCCGTCCACTACGACACACTGCTGTAACCAATCCCACCCCTTCTGGGTGCTTGCCAGCCGCTGTCTGCTCTCGCTTCCAACCTGCACAGTCTGCTATCACATGACCTGGGTCATGACAAAAAAAAAACACGCTCTGTTTAGCCTGGGATCTAACACTGGAACACTGGCACAGGGGACGTAATTGTCAGGAGCTCTACGATAAGTGTCTCGCTGAGGAGGATCACGCTGAAAGAAAACGCTCTTGTGTATCAGTGCAAACTCGTCTGCCAGAGTGGCAGCCTGCTGAAGGGTAGTTACCTTCTGCTCGTTCAGGTAGACTACCGTACGCTCAGGCACACAGTTCTTAAACTCCTCTAACATCATTAGCTCACACACTGAAGTAATGTTGTCAGCTTTACAAGCTCTACACCACCTGTCAAAGAGGACTTTCTTCTCCCTCGCGAAGTCCACGTAAGTTTGGCCAGAAGTTTTCATCAGGCCGCGAAAACGCTGCCTGTAGGCCTCAGGCACAAGCTCATATGCCCTGAGAACAGCACCTTTAACATTCTCATACACTAAACTATCCTCGACAGAAAGAGAAGAGCAAGCTTCTTGAGCCTTGCCGACTAGCTTACACTGTAAAAGAATAGCCCACACGTCTTCTGGCCAGCGCAGAGCAGCAGCAATGCGCTCAAATGCACCAAAATAGATCTCCACCTCTGATTCACGAAACACAGGGACCAAAGAAATATGCCTACTCACGTCGAAGGAGGCAGCAGGACCAGAAGATGTAACGGCAGAATCACCCCCCCCAGCTGCCTGAAGCTCTAACTGACGCATCCGGACAGCAGTGTCTGCCTCCAACTTCCTGATCTCCAACTTCCTGATCTCCAGCTCCCTCCTGACATCAGTGTCTGCCTCCAACTTCTTGATCTCCAGCTCCGACTTCTTGATCTCCAGCTCCGACTTCTTGATCTCCAGCTCCAACTTCCTGATCTCCAGCTCCAACTTCCTGATCTCCAACTTCCTGATCTCCAGCTCCAACTTCCTGATCTCCAGCTCCAACTTCCTGATCTCCAGCTCCCTCCTGACATCAGTGTCTGCCTCCAACTTCTTGATCTCCAGCTCCGACTTCTTGATCTCCAGCTCCGACTTCCTGATCTCCAGCTCCCTCCTGACATCAGTGTCTGCCTCCAACTTCCTGATCTCCAGCTCCGACTTCCTGATCTCCAGCTCCAACTTCCTGATCTCCAGCTCCCTCCTGAGCTGAAAATCCCTATCTCGCTCCTCCTTCTCCCACTGTAGACGAGCCATACGCACTTTTACCCTGGCATCTAATTTAGACCCCGTAGGTGAGGACCCTGCCGAAAACGAGTCCAACTGAGGCATGTTGAAAAGTGTTGCCTGTTCCGTAGCACTCTGAAACACCTGGAGTAACACCAACGCGGCCTCCACCAGGAGACTCTGCTGCTACAGCCCCGGCCACCGTTCCAGGAGATTCCACTGAAGTAGGCAGACTCAAAACCCCCTGTTCAACTAGTCCGGTTAGCACCATAGCCTTGAGTTCACTTTTAACAAGAGCAGAGGAGACAGAAACGTGATAATGGTCAGCAACTAACCGCAAATCAACCTTCCTACACCAGTCTAGCTGACCCACAGAAGGACTGGCCACAAACTGCTCCAAAACAAAAGCCATCCTTATCAACGGCTACTTACAATTGTTTTTTGTTTTTTTGTTTTTTTTTTAACAAACTTCCCCAGATCCTGCCTACCAAACTTCCCTAACTATCTTCTGGAGCGTGCCGGGCTCGAGCCGACTTTAAAGGCAAACATCAGCGGCCGAAACCCTGAAACGCCTGCCCCCAACAGGGAATAAATCCCCACCCAGGATTACCCCGAAAATAAAAAAGGCAAAATAAAAAACGAGTGCCTGAAGGAAAGACACTCCCCTATCTAAACTGAGGAAGCTTTCAAACAGCAAGAGACTTCACAGCCAATGCTACCAAACACAATATCAACGCTAAACCACAAACAGATACTCACTCTTTGTCTCAAAGATCGGACGAGCCCCCATTTGTTACGTTCCCTCCAAAATCTAGGGGTACGAAGGGGAGTAACAAACACAGAACGACCAGCACGAGAAAGAGGAAACTGATCTCTTTGTTCACACATGAGATTTACTTCAACGATAATGGACAACCAGGTCCCACACTGTAAAAACTGTTGCTTTGGTAAAACTTAAAAAATATGTGTCAAGCGATTCCAAGCAATTTTAAGAGTTTAGTCAATTTTTGAGTTGGTGAAATGTACTTTTTTTAGTTTTCCTCTACTCAAGAATGTGTTACTTTGCTAAAACTTAAAAAATATGTGTCAAGCGATTCCAAGCAATTATAGGAGTTGGGTAAACTCACTAATGTGATTTTCTCTGCATATGAAAAGATGAGCCTACAATTCAAAGCCCAGATATTAAGTGTAACCAATGCAAATAACAATCTGCTAAGAACCACACGAGAATAAAGTAAATTATAAAACACAATTGAGTTGCCGGATCCTATATACGACAAACTCTTCCTGATTTCAATCCAACCCTTTAAATATTTGATAGCATTGAAACATTGCAGATTAAACAAATACATTAAAAAAGGGAACATTATTTCAAAACAGTTGTCATAAAAGAGTAACAAGTTTGTTTAAAAGCACAACACATGAACATCCATGGAGACACATGGTTATTACTTGATGGTTATAACTGCATCTGGCTCTTGGGCAATGTATAACTTCATGCTGTGCATCACGAGCCTGTTGCACTTCGACCTCTGCTGTTCCCTGTAAATACAAATAAAACACTAAATTGAGTACAAATCAGGACACACCATGTGTTTTCCTCAAAACAAAAATCAAATCCGTCTTGAAAACATAACGAGCCAGTTTACATTAGCTGTTAACAGACGGTAACAGAGGTGCTATTCACATGCATTACAAGGGGTTTAAGCCATCAACAAAAAGGCTGGTTTGCAAGAAAATGAACCAAATAGTCATGATATTGATATAGTTCATAAAATGTCCAACTCCTTCTTTTTAACCCCACCTCATGCTCAGAGATGTATATAAAGTGGCACATGGGTCCTAGAATAAAAAGAACAGACGATTATTTCAACTTTTATCTTGATAAGTGAGAGCGCAGGCCAGTCTACATGAATGCAGGGCAAGGCACGTTTCTGTCCAAAGGTTCCATGATGGAGTCGATAATGTTTTATCACTTTGAGTGGTGACACTAGTGCTGCATAGTTTACATCTCCATCCCAGCTGTGATTCAAACAATAGAAATGGGTACGTTTACCTGATGCTCATTATATTAGTATGTAAACATAACACGTCTTGAATTAACCTCTGAAACAACTTTAGTCTGACACACTCAAGGGCTTACCTAATGTGAACCTGAAGTCCATAGCAGGAGGCTAAATGTCTTCAAGAGGAGGTGGGACTGTTTTCTGGTGAGGCAAATGAAAGAACAAAATAGTTACATGATGACAATGTAACAATCATTTCAGTAGAATTCATTAAAACATCTTTAATTCAATTAATGGAATCAAACATTAAAACACAAGTATCATTTAAAACGGTATTGTATTTATATACATTTATAAGGATGGCATTGTTAGATACCAGTACAATTCCATGATTCTCTACACAGCAGATCCTAATTACTTCAATATACACTCCTTTATCTCGTTTGCATACTGTCTAATATCTACTTTATGTTGTAGTAAAACATCTCCTTAATAAAACTGTATTTATTGATATTTCTCGCTAAAGATTGCATTTTACTGGACTACATTGAACACATCTTGCTGACGTTATACATGCCTCCTCGCCCAATACACACTTTTACTGAATTGCGCCTGAATGCACCTTAACTGAAGTCACCTCCGTCTCTTTCTACTGAGAGCTAACGTTAACTCTCCTGCAGATTCCAACATGGATTTGCATCTATAGCGTTGCATAAGCATGAACAATATAGTTTGCACTTAATGTTGTATAATAACAACTCGATGCTGTAACTGCAGACTATGAGTTTAAATTGGGTACACTAAGATTGTTGAAAGATAATTCATTGCTCACAGTAAAACAAACGGCGAAATACATAGAGGAATTAATATCAAATAGGCGCATTAGTAACTTACTCTTACATAACCGCTGGGTTATAAAGTAGTAGGGAATAGTTTTAACGGAGGTATTTTACCGCACAACATGCACGGCAGGAGAGCCTCTGAGCCCCGAGGCGCATCACGGTGCCCGGGCCAACGCTTAGAGCGGCATAGGGGAACAGTTTGCGGAGTTGATTCTTAATGTGCTCTTAACTTAACCACTTTTAACAGAATTGCGTCGGTAAGCACTTGATGCAAACTTTGCCCAACAACTTTGCGTGAAGAAATAGACTACATGAGCAGGACAGGGCTGAGTCTAACTTTAACAGCAGTAATGGCGCTGGCATGCATTAAAATGTCGATGTTTCGTTCAAAACAGTGAATACAAGAAAAGTAAATAACACTTTCTAGTTAAAAAGCAGTAATTAATAACTCAGGTGGCATGCTTACTTGTTTGTGGTTTGAGGAGGATCCGACGCAAACACGTGTCCAACTGCTGAAGAACCGCTGCAAAGAGGAACAGGAAGTCTCACACCGCGGTATTCTCGTTTGAGGGCGTGGCATGACCGGTTTTCCAAAACGTCTTTTTAAAGAAAGTTCAGAAAATGTGATATTAATTTACAAATTAATGAGTTCTTAAAACATGTTCTCATTATTGCTTACGTGTTACTTATTTAAACGCACATTGAAAAAAAACTAATTTAGGGCAAGTAAATTACATAAAAAAATTGAGTTTTGTTGACTTCACCATCGGAACTGTTTTTACTAGTGATGACGAGATGAAGCCGAGGCTTCGGAGCGTGTGTCGAGTAATCGCCGAAGCTTTCTGTGAAGCCTGTGTCGAGGCTTGTATCATTTGGGGGCCAGTGACGTCATCGATGACAAACGAAGCCTCGTTTGTCGATACCACGTGACTGCTTCAGGAAGCGATTCAGATCTTGGCGCGAGCTTCTGACAGATAAAAAGCCATGGGATTCGATTCAAGATGTGTGATCCTTGTGAGAGGAAAACACTTGTCGTTTTGCCAGTTTTCGAACATATATTGCTTCTTTTGTCTTTATAGAAGGCAGCAGACATTTACATTTATTTATGTATAGATGTAACAACAAGATACTATATTGACACATTGTTTTTATTATTATATACAGTCATTTTAAAACACTTACTGGTGTAAAATTCTGTTCATACAGGATGACAAATACATTTGACATCTTTTACCTTTTTGTATCATTATTTCCAGTATTTTTAGTATGTCAAAGATTACAAATAATATGTGGCTGTTTTACACCTGTTCACCAACAGGGGGTCTTGTGAGCACATGAAGCCCATGATGAAGCTTCATGAGATGAACCTTTTAGCGAACCGATTTGCTGGAAAGCTTCAAAGCTTCAAAGCTTCATGAGGCTTCATCTCGTCATCACTAGTTTTTACAGTGCAGAGACCCAAGACGACGTGCTGCACCCATGCAGCCAGAGGAGAAAGGGAGAGCGACTGCAGCCTTCCTCAGGTCCTATATGGAGGCCCTGATTGGGGATTGGGAGCACCTGGGAGAGAGGCTGCACCTGGAGACAATCAGGCTGCACCTGGAGAATCAGAGGGAGAGAGAGAAAGACACACACACACACACACTACGGCACGTAACAATTACAATGAATAAAGAAATCTGATATAAATAAAATGCTTCTTCCTGTTTCATCTTCGTGTGTGTGTGTGTGTGCAGCAGTGCAGGGGTTAACCCTCATCAGGTGAGCATACCTGCAGAGGGAGCGGCTGGGCGGCTATGTGAATAATCATTATTACGTAATGATGGTTAATAAACTGTCACACACACACACACACTCTAATGTGAGGACTAACCCAGAGGGAAGAGAGATGGCCGCCGAGTATAACCCCTACTGCAAGGTAAAGGTCCTTTATCTGTCCACACACACTCACACACACTCACTCACACAGGTCTGAAAAGACGCTGTTGGTTCCCTGTCAGACGGAGGGAAGGGTTGTTGGGTGTAAAGATCAGAAGTGACACACACTCTCTCAATATCTTATGTGTTTTATTTATATTAAAGTGTGTATGTGAGGGCTACACACACACTCTCACACTGTTGGCTTCACCATCAACTGTCCTTTACTTATCTATATTATATAAACTTATCTATATTATATAAACTTATCTATAAACGTATCTAGGGTTAAAACATCCAAAATTGAGTTAAATCAAGTCGTGCGTGCGTGCGTGTGTGTGTGTGTGCGTGTGCGTGTGTGTGTGTGTGTGAACAGCCAATCAGATTCTGCGTTCTGTCCGGAAGTGTGTGTTCTTCGGCTGCCGGTGGTTTTATTTTATTTACGAACATTTTACGCGTCCCACCGGCTTAAGTTATCCCGGAAACTCCGCGTATTAATAACAGGGAAACACCCCCCTCCATCACCGGGAACACGGCTGCAACTACGCCCAACAAAGTGACCGAAACTCGGCGGGCACTCCTCTCGGGACACCTGTCCGCTCCGGGGAGAGAGAGCGAACTCCAGCCGGTCTGCTGCCCGGCTCTGAGCCTCTGCAGGCGGGGAGAGAGGAGCCGCTGAGCCGCCGCTGTCTGTCGGAGCAGAGAACATGTCCGTGAACGAGCTGTACACAAAGGTGAGTCCTGAGAGAGAGACAGCTCACCTGAGACAGCTCACCTGAGAGAGCTCACCTGTCTCACAGCTTCCTGTTCCCAGACCTCCATTAATCTAACCCTCGCTCATAGCCGTGGGAACATGTTTCAAATGGGGGGGGGGTGCTGTGGGGATGACACCAGGGCCGGTTCTGACCAATTTGCTGCCCTAGTCAAGACTTTAGCTGGCAATCAAAAACCTCTACAAAAGACCAATACACTACAAAAAGATAAACGTATTGACATGGTGGACAGCTTATATAAAACGTTTTTTAACATTTTTAAAGTAAAATGCTTCAATCTGGTGCACTTTGAGCCCACAATCACTAGAGACCTGATCTAGGGGGTACAACTCTAAACACCCATAAGAAAAAGATCGGTTTGCATTTTATTAATCAAATAAGTATGTGAACGCTTCCAATAACCCATAGCCAATAACAAATAAATGTAGGCTAACTTATTTTATTTTTGTGGTTCATTTATATCTTATTTTACCTAGTAACATTTATTTATTTATGCATATTTTTAAATCTCTCCAGTTTTAAACAATATTTTTGGTTTACTGTCCTATAGTATATGATTTCAAACCTGTTTTTATTTACCCTAATAAAGGAGTGAGTTTTTTGTTGTATTCATATATATATATATATATATTGTATTTAATCTTGTGGAAGTGCAGATCCCCTGTCCTCCACCAGGGGGCTGCAGCACCCTCAACACCCCTACTTCCCACGGCCCTCGTTTTACCGACTCGCTGCTCCTCAAACTTTAACCTCCCGAGACCCGGGCTGCGCGCCGCGGGGAAGAGACACCTGTTGTTGGGGGGTCTTTAACGGCTGTTTCTTCCTGAACCTGCGGTCTGTGTGGGGGGGGGGGGGGTCTGAGCCGGACGGTCTTCAGCCGGGAGGAGAAGCTCTCTGCGGGGGGGGGGCGGGGCAGCCGGAACTTTAATTTACATTTATCTGAATGGAGAGAGAGATCAGTAATAATAACCCTGCATGGGTTGCTTACTTCAGTGTTGTTTACATCAGTGTTGTTTACATCAGTGTTGTTTACATCAGTAATAACCTGCATGTGTTGTTTACAATAGATGATAATATGCCACAGGTCACACACTAATAAGGAAGCAGTTTGTCAATCCTCATTAATGATTCTAAATCCTCTTTATAATCCTGGGGGGCCATAAGGTGTGTGTGGGAGGGGGGTCTGGATATAAAGCTGTACTTCCTGTCTGCACCTCGGCCACAGGTGTGTTTACTGTGTGTGTGTGTGTGTGTGTGTGTGTGTGTGTGTGTGTGTGTGTGTGTGTGTGTGTGTGTGTGTGTGTGTGTGTGTGTGTGTGTGTGTGTGTGTGTGTGTGTGTGTGTGTGTGTGTGTGTGTGTGTGTGTGTGTGTGTGTGTGTGTGTGTGTGTGTGTGTGTGTGTGTGTGTGTGTGTGTGTGTGTGTGTGGTGTGTGTGTGTGTGTGTGTGTGTGTGTGTGTGTGTGTGTGTGTGTGTGTGTGTGTGTGTGTGTGTGTGTGTGTGTGTGTGTGTGTGTGTGTGTGTGTGTGTGTGTGTGTGTGTGTGTGTGTGTGTGTGTGTGTGTGTGTGTGTGTGTGTGTGTGCGTGCGTGCGTACAGTACACCCGGGTCTGGATCCCTGACCCCTCGGAGGTGTGGAAAGCTGCAGAGATCATCAGAGACTTCAAGGAGGGAGAACCGGAGCTGCTGCTGAGACTGGAGGATGACACGGTACGCTCTTATTCTGAAAATCTCTTATTGTTAAAGGGTACAGATGTATGAAATGAGTGTGTATGTACTGATATGTTAAGTGAGTGTGTGTTTGTACAGATATTGGAATGTGTGTTCGTACAGATGTATGAAATGAGTGTGTATGTACTGATATGTTAAGTGAGTGTGTGTTTGTACAGATATTGGAATGTGTGTTCGTACAGATGTATGAAATGTGTGTGTGTGTGCTCAGACGCTGGCCTACCCGGTGGGTCCGAAGGGGAAGCCCCTCCCCTTCCTGCGTAACCCGGACATCCTGGTGGGGGAGAACGACCTGACGGTGCTGAGCTACCTTCATGAACCTGCAGTGCTGCACAACCTGAGGGTCCGCTTCCTAGAGCCCAACCACATCTACACCTACTGCGGTACACTGAGTGCCATCATACACACATGTACATGTTATAATAATGAATCATAGGTTATATATGAATGTATATCCCTGTGTGTCTGCAGGCATAGTGCTGGTGGCCATCAACCCGTATGACCAGCTCCATATCTACGGAGAGGAAGTGATCCGGGCCTACAGTGGCCAGAACATGGGGGACATGGACCCCCACATCTTCGCTGTGGCTGAGGAGGCCTACAAGCAGATGGGCAGGTAACTCTATAATACGGTGATAACATGTCTCTATCATAACATGTCTCTATCATAACATGTCTCTATTACACAGTGATAACATGTCTCTATTACACAGTGATAACGTGTCTCTATTACACAGTGATAACATGTCTCTATTACACAGTGATAACGTGTCTCTATTACACAGTGATAACGTGTCTCTATTACACAGTGATAACATGTCTCTATTACACAGTGATAACATGTCTCTATTACACAGTGATAACATGTCTCTATTACACAGTGATAACATGTCTCTATTACACAGTGATAACGTCTCTATTACACAGTGATAACGTGTCTCTATTACAGTGATAACGTGTCTCTATTACACAGTGATAACATGTCTCTATTACACAGTGATAACATGTCTCTATTACACAGTGATAACATGTCTCTATTACACAGTAATAACGTCTCTATTACACAGTGATAACGTGTCTCTATTACACAGTGATAACGTGTCTCTATTACACAGTGATAACGTGTCTCTATTACACAGTAATAACATAACCTGTCTCTATTACACAGTAATAACATGTCTCTATTACAGTGATAACATGTCTCTATTACACAGTGATAACGTCTCTATTACACAGTAATAACGTCTCTATTACACAGTAATAACATAACCTGTCTCTATTACACAGTAATAACATGTCTCTATTACACAGTGATAACATGTCTCTATTACACAGTGATAACATGTCTCTATTACACAGTGATAACATGTCTCTATTACACAGTGATAACATGTCTCTATTGCACAGTGATAACATAACATGTCTCTATTACACAGTGATAACATGTCTCTATTACACAGTGATAACATGTCTCTATTACACAGTGATAACATGTCTCTATTACACAGTAATAACATAACATGTCTCTATTACACAGTGATAACATGTCTCTATTTTACAGTAATAACATAACATGTCTCTATTACAGAGTGATAACATGTCTATTGCACAGTAATAACGTCTCTATTACACAGTGATAACATGTCTCTATTTTACAGTAATAACATAACATGTCTCTATTACACAGTGATAACATGTCTCTATTTTACAGTAATAACATAACATGTCTCTATTACACAGTGATAACATGTCTCTATTACACAGTGATAACATGTCTCTATTGCACAGTAATAACGTCTCTATTACACAGTGATAACATGTCTCTATAACATGGTAATAACATGTTTATCTTCTGTTGATCAGAGATGAGAGGAATCAGTCCATCATCGTGAGTGGAGAGTCCGGAGCAGGAAAGACGGTTTCTGCGAAGTACGCCATGCGCTTCTTCGCCACGGTGGGCGGCTCGGCTAACGACACGAACGTTGAGGAGAAGGTTCTCGCCTCCAGCCCCATCATGGAGGTCAGTGGGTTAATACATGCAGGAGCTATCACCATGATGTCATCAGTGGGTTAATACATGCAGGAGCTATCACTATGATGTCATCAGTGGGTTAATACATGCAGGAGCTATCACTATGATGTCATCAGTGTAATACATGCAGGAGCTATCACCATGATGTCATCAGTGTAATACATGCAGGAGCTATCACTATGATGTCATCAGTGTAATACATGCAGGAGCTATCACCATGATGTCATCAGTGGGTTAATACATGCAGGAGCTATCACTATGATGTCATCAGTGGGTTAATACATGCAGGAGCTATCACTATGATGTCATCAGTGTAATACATGCAGGAGCTATCACCATGATGTCATCAGTGGGTTAATACATGCAGGAGCTATCACTATGATGTCATCAGTGGGTTAATACATGCAGGAGCTATCACCATGATGTCATCAGTGGGTTAATACATGCAGGAGCTATCACCATGATGTATCAGTGGGTTAATACATGCAGGAGCTATCACTATGATGTCATCAGTGGGTTAATACATGCAGGAGCTATCGCTATGATGTCATCAGTGGGTTAATACATGCAGGAGCTATCGCCATGATGTCATCAGTGTAATACATGCAGGAGCTATCACTATGATGTCATCAGTGTAATACATGCAGGAGCTATCGCTATGATGTCATCAGTGGGTTAATACATGCAGGAGCTATCACTATGATGTCATCAGTGGGTTAATACATGCAGGAGCTATCACTATGATGTCATCAGTGGGTTAATACATGCAGGAGCTATCACCATGATGTCATCAGTGTAATACATGCAGGAGCTATCACTATGATGTCATCAGTGGGTTAATACATGCAGGAGCTATCACTATGATGTCATCAGTGTAGTACATGCAGGAGCTATCACTATGATGTCATCAGTGGGTTAATACATGCAGGAGCTATCACTATGATGTCATCAGTGTAATACATGCAGGAGCTATCACTATGATGTCATCAGTGGGTTAATACATGCAGGAGCTATCACTATGATGTCATCAGTGTAATACATGCAGGAGCTATCACTATGATGTCATCAGTGGGTTAATACATGCAGGAGCTATCACTATGATGTCATCAGTGGGTTAATACATGCAGGAGCTATCACCATGATGTCATCAGTGGGTTAATACATGCAGGAGCTATCACTATGATGTCATCAGTGGGTTAATACATGCAGGAGCTATCACTATGATGTCATCAGTGTAATACATGCAGGAGCTATCACCATGATGTCATCAGTGGGTTAATACATGCAGGAGCTATCACTATGATGTCATCAGTGGGTTAATACATGCAGGAGCTATCACCATGATGTCATCAGTGGGTTAATACATGCAGGAGCTATCACCATGATGTATCAGTGGGTTAATACATGCAGGAGCTATCACTATGATGTCATCAGTGGGTTAATACATGCAGGAGCTATCGCTATGATGTCATCAGTGGGTTAATACATGCAGGAGCTATCGCCATGATGTCATCAGTGTAATACATGCAGGAGCTATCACTATGATGTCATCAGTGTAATACATGCAGGAGCTATCACTATGATGTCATCAGTGTAATACATGCAGGAGCTATCGCCATGATGTCATCAGTGTAATACATGCAGGAGCTATCACTATGATGTCATCAGTGTAATACATGCAGGAGCTATCGCTATGATGTCATCAGTGGGTTAATACATGCAGGAGCTATCACTATGATGTCATCAGTGGGTTAATACATGCAGGAGCTATCACTATGATGTCATCAGTGGGTTAACACATGCAGGAGCTATCACCATGATGTCATCAGTGTAATACATGCAGGAGCTATCACTATGATGTCATCAGTGGGTTAATACATGCAGGAGCTATCACTATGATGTCATCAGTGGGTTAATACATGCAGGAGCTATCACCATGATGTCATCAGTGGGTTAATACATGCAGGAGCTATCACTATGATGTCATCAGTGGGTTAATACATGCAGGAGCTATCACCATGATGTCATCAGTGGGTTAATACATGCAGGAGCTATCACCATGATGTCATCAGTGTAATACATGCAGGAGCTATCACCATGATGTCATCAGTGTAACACATGCAGGAGCTATCACTATGATGTCATCAGTGTAATACATGCAGGAGCTATCACCATGATGTCATCAGTGGGTTAATACATGCAGGAGCTATCACTATGATGTCATCAGTGGGTTAATACATGCAGGAGCTATCACCATGATGTCATCAGTGGGTTAATACATGCAGGAGCTATCACTATGATGTCATCAGTGGGTTAATACATGCAGGAGCTATCGCTATGATGTCATCAGTGGGTTAATACATGCAGGAGCTATCGCCATGATGTCATCAGTGGGTTAATACATGCAGGAGCTATCGCCATGATGTCATCAGTGTAATACATGCAGGAGCTATCACCATGATGTCATCAGTGTAACACATGCAGGAGCTATCACTATGATGTCATCAGTGTAATACATGCAGGAGCTATCACTATGATGTCATCAGTGGGTTAATACATGCAGGAGCTATCACTATGATGTCATCAGTGTAATACATGCAGGAGCTATCACCATGATGTCATCAGTGGGTTAATACATGCAGGAGCTATCACTATGATGTCATCAGTGGGTTAATACATGTAGGAGCTGTCACTATGATGTCATCAGTGTAATACATGCAGGAGCTATCACTATGATGTCATCAGTGTAACACATGCAGGAGCTATCACTATGATGTCATCAGTGTAATACATGCAGGAGCTATCACTATGATGTCATCAGTGTAATACATGCAGGAGCTATCACTATGATGTCATCAGTGGGTTAATACATGCAGGAGCTATCACTATGATGTCATCAGTGGGTTAATACATGCAGGAGCTATCACTATGATGTCATCAGTGGGTTAATACATGCAGGAGCTATCACTATGATGTCATCAGTGGTTAATACATGCAGGAGCTATCACTATGATGTCATCAGTGTAATACATGCAGGAGCTATCACTATGATGTAATCAGTGGGTTTAATACATGCAGGAGCTATCCACTATGATGTCATCAGTGGGTTAATACATGCAGGAGCTATCACCATGATGTCATCAGTGGGTTAATACATGCAGGAGCTATCACTATGATGTCATCAGTGGGTTAATACATGCAGGAGCTATCACTATGATGTCATCAGTGTAATACATGCAGGAGCTATCACTATGATGTCATCAGTGGGTTAATACATGCAGGAGCTATCACTATGATGTCATCAGTGGGTTAATACATGCAGGAGCTATCACCATGATGTCATCAGTGGGTTAATACATGCAGGAGCTATCACTATGATGTCATCAGTGGGTTAATACATGCAAGGAGCTATCACCATGATGTCATCAGTGGGTTAATACATGCAGGAGCTATCACCATGATGTATCAGTGGGTTAATACATGCAGGAGCTATCACTATGATGTCATCAGTGGGTTAATACATGCAGGAGCTATCGCTATGATGTCATCAGTGGGTTAATACATGCAGGAGCTATCGCCATGATGTCATCAGTGTAATACATGCAGGAGCTATCACTATGATGTCATCAGTGTAATACATGCAGGAGCTATCGCTATGATGTCATCAGTGGGTTAATACATGCAGGAGCTATCACTATGATGTCATCAGTGGGTTAATACATGCAGGAGCTATCACTATGATGTCATCAGTGGGTTAATACATGCAGGAGCTATCACCATGATGTCATCAGTGTAATACATGCAGGAGCTATCACTATGATGTCATCAGTGGGTTAATACATGCAGGAGCTATCACTATGATGTCATCAGTGTAGTACATGCAGGAGCTATCACTATGATGTCATCAGTGGGTTAATACATGCAGGAGCTATCACTATGATGTCATCAGTGTAATACATGCAGGAGCTATCACTATGATGTCATCAGTGGGTTAATACATGCAGGAGCTATCACTATGATGTCATCAGTGTAATACATGCAGGAGCTATCACTATGATGTCATCAGTGGGTTAATACATGCAGGAGCTATCACTATGATGTCATCAGTGGGTTAATACATGCAGGAGCTATCACCATGATGTCATCAGTGGGTTAATACATGCAGGAGCTATCACTATGATGTCATCAGTGGGTTAATACATGCAGGAGCTATCACTATGATGTCATCAGTGTAATACATGCAGGAGCTATCACCATGATGTCATCAGTGGGTTAATACATGCAGGAGCTATCACTATGATGTCATCAGTGGGTTAATACATGCAGGAGCTATCACCATGATGTCATCAGTGGGTTAATACATGCAGGAGCTATCACCATGATGTATCAGTGGGTTAATACATGCAGGAGCTATCACTATGATGTCATCAGTGGGTTAATACATGCAGGAGCTATCGCTATGATGTCATCAGTGGGTTAATACATGCAGGAGCTATCGCTATGATGTCATCAGTGTAATACATGCAGGAGCTATCACTATGATGTCATCAGTGTAATACATGCAGGAGCTATCACTATGATGTCATCAGTGTAATACATGCAGGAGCTATCGCCATGATGTCATCAGTGTAATACATGCAGGAGCTATCACTATGATGTCATCAGTGTAATACATGCAGGAGCTATCGCTATGATGTCATCAGTGGGTTAATACATGCAGGAGCTATCACTATGATGTCATCAGTGGGTTAATACATGCAGGAGCTATCACTATGATGTCATCAGTGGGTTAATACATGCAGGAGCTATCACCATGATGTCATCAGTGTAATACATGCAGGAGCTATCACTATGATGTCATCAGTGGGTTAATACATGCAGGAGCTATCACTATGATGTCATCAGTGGGTTAATACATGCAGGAGCTATCACCATGATGTCATCAGTGGGTTAATACATGCAGGAGCTATCACCATGATGTCATCAGTGTAATACATGCAGGAGCTATCACCATGATGTCATCAGTGTAACACATGCAGGAGCTATCACTATGATGTCATCAGTGTAATACATGCAGGAGCTATCACCATGATGTCATCAGTGGGTTAATACATGCAGGAGCTATCACTATGATGTCATCAGTGGGTTAATACATGCAGGAGCTATCACCATGATGTCATCAGTGGGTTAATACATGCAGGAGCTATCACTATGATGTCATCAGTGGGTTAATACATGCAGGAGCTATCACTATGATGTCATCAGTGGGTTAATACATGCAGGAGCTATCGCTATGATGTCATCAGTGGGTTAATACATGCAGGAGCTATCACCATGATGTCATCAGTGGGTTAATACATGCAGGAGCTATCGCCATGATGTCATCAGTGGGTTAATACATGCAGGAGCTATCGCCATGATGTCATCAGTGTAATACATGCAGGAGCTATCACCATGATGTCATCAGTGTAACACATGCAGGAGCTATCACTATGATGTCATCAGTGTAATACATGCAGGAGCTATCACTATGATGTCATCAGTGGGTTAATACATGCAGGAGCTATCACTATGATGTCATCAGTGTAATACATGCAGGAGCTATCACCATGATGTCATCAGTGGGTTAATACATGCAGGAGCTATCACTATGATGTCATCAGTGGGTTAATACATGTAGGAGCTGTCACTATGATGTCATCAGTGTAATACATGCAGGAGCTATCACTATGATGTCATCAGTGTAACACATGCAGGAGCTATCACTATGATGTCATCAGTGTAATACATGCAGGAGCTATCACTATGATGTCATCAGTGTAATACATGCAGGAGCTATCACTATGATGTCATCAGTGGGTTAATACATGCAGGAGCTATCACTATGATGTCATCAGTGGGTTAATACATGCAGGAGCTATCACTATGATGTCATCAGTGGGTTAATACATGCAGGAGCTATCACTATGATGTCATCAGTGTAATACATGCAGGAGCTATCACCATGATGTCATCAGTGTAATACATGCAGTAGCTATCACCATGATGTCATCAGTGGGTTAATACATGCAGGAGCTATCACTATGATGTCATCAGTGGGTTAATACATGCAGGAGCTATCACTATGATGTCATCAGTGTAATACATGCATGAGCTATCACCATGATGTCATCAGTGGGTTAATACATGCAGGAGCTATCACTATGATGTCATCAGTGTAATACATGCAGGAGCTATCACTATGATGTCATCAGTGGGTTAATACATGCAGGAGCTATCACTATGATGTCATCAGTGGGTTAATACATGCAGGAGCTATCACTATGATGTCATCAGTGTAACACATGCAGGAGCTATCACTATGATGTCATCAGTGTAATACATGCAGGAGCTATCACTATGATGTCATCAGTGGGTTAATACATGCAGGAGCTATCACTATGATGTCATCAGTGGGTTAATACATGCAGGAGCTATCACTATGATGTCATCAGTGTAACACATGCAGGAGCTATCACTATGATGTCATCAGTGTAATACATGCAGGAGCTATCACCATGATGTCATCAGTGGGTTAATACATGCAGGAGCTATCACTATGATGTCATCAGTGGGTTAATACATGCAGGAGCTATCACCATGATGTCATCAGTGGGTTAATACATGCAGGAGCTATCACTATGATGTCATCAGTGGGTTAATACATGCAGGAGCTATCACTATGATGTCATCAGTGTAATACATGCAGGAGCTATCACTATGATGTCATCAGTGGGTTAATACATGCAGGAGCTATCACTATGATGTCATCAGTGGGTTAATACATGCAGGAGCTATCACTATGATGTCATCAGTGGGTTAATACATGCAGGAGCTATCACCATGATGTCATCAGTGGGTTAATACATGCAGGAGCTATCACTATGATGTCATCAGTGGGTTAATACATGCAGGAGCTATCACTATGATGTCATCAGTGGGTTAATACATGCAGGAGCTATCACTATGATGTCATCAGTGGGTTAATACATGCAGGAGCTATCACCATGATGTCATCAGTGGGTTAATACATGCAGGAGCTATCACTATGATGTCATCAGTGGGTTAATACATGCAGGAGCTATCACCATGATGTCATCAGTGGGTTAATACATGCAGGAGCTATCACTATGATGTCATCAGTGGGTTAATACATGCAGGAGCTATCACTATGATGTCATCAGTGGGTTAATACATGCAGGAGCTATCACCATGATGTCATCAGTGGGTTAATACATGCAGGAGCTATCACCATGATGTCATCAGTGGGTTAATACATGCAGGAGCTATCACTATGATGTCATCAGTGGGTTAATACATGCAGGAGCTATCACTATGATGTCATCAGTGGGTTAATACATGCAGGAGCTATCACTATGATGTCATCAGTGTAATACATGCAGGAGCTATCACTATGATGTCATCAGTGTAATACATGCAGGAGCTATCACTATGATGTCATCAGTGTAATACATGCAGGAGCTATCACTATGATGTCATCAGTGTAATACATGCAGGAGCTATCACCATGATGTCATCAGTGTAACACATGCAGGAGCTATCACTATGATGTCATCAGTGGGTTAATACATGCAGGAGCTATCACCATGATGTCATCAGTGGGTTAATACATGCAGGAGCTATCACTATGATGTCATCAGTGTAACACATGCAGGAGCTATCGCCATGATGTCATGATATCCTCCGTCACTTCTTCTTCAGTGGTTTTTCTGCTGTATTGATTACTGTGAGCTTCTTCTGTGGTGTATAATGATGGTTGGTGTCTTCTGTCCTTCAGGCTATAGGAAATGCCAAAACCACTAGAAACGACAACAGCAGTCGCTTTGGAAAGTACATCCAGATCGGCTTCAGCCGGCACTTCCACATCATCGGAGCCAACATGAGGACGTACCTGCTGGAGAAGTCCCGGGTGGTGTTTCAGGTGGGTGTGTCTCACAGTCGGTGATTGATCCCTGATCAACAGGAACTGATTTACTGTGGTTAACTTCTCAGGCGGAGGACGAGAGGAACTATCACATCTTCTACCAGCTTTGTGCGTCCAGCAGCCTACCGGAGTTCAGGGAGCTGGGCCTCAGTGAGTCTACTTCCTGTTTCACTGTGTTTCTGAACTACTTCCTGTTTCACTGTGTTCCTGAACCACTTCCTGTTTCACTGTGTTCCTGAACCACTTCCTGTTTCACTGTGTTCCTGAACCACTTCCTGTTTCACTGTGTTTCTGAACTACTTCCTGTTTCACTGTGTTCCTGAACTACTTCCTGTTTCACTGTGTTCCTGAACCACTTCCTGTTTCACTGTGTTCCTGAACCACTTCCTGTTTCACTGTGTTTCTGAACTACTTCCTGTTTCACTGTGTTCCTGAACTACTTCCTGTTTCACTGTGTTCCTGAACCACTTCCTGTTTCACTGTGTTCCTGAACCACTTCCTGTTTCACTGTGTTCCTGAACCACTTCCTGTTTCACTGTGTTCCTGAACCACTTCCTGTTTCATTGTGTTCCTGGACAGAGTCTCAGGTCATTGTGTTCCTGGGTCTCAGGTAGGATCCAGTGACATCATCAAACCCCCAAGAGTCCCTGATGGGGGGGGTCTCTCTGTTTGATCATCAGGACGAATTAGCTTCTAGATCCTGGGACTTAAAGTCAGAGAAACTTTGAAAACCTGTTTACCTGTCTCACTGCTCACCTGTCTACCTGCTCACCTGTTGACCTGTCTACCTGTCTACCTGCTCACCTGTCTACCTGCTCACCTGTTGACCTGTCTACCTGTCTACCTGCTCACCTGTCTACCTGCTCACCTGTTGACCTGTCTACCTGCTCACCTGTTGACCTGTCTACCTGCTCACCTGTTGACCTGTCTACCTGCTCACTTATCTACCTGTCTAACCTCTACCTAACTGATGTGTTTTGTACCTCAGCCAGTGCAGAAGACTTCAACTTCACGTCTCTAGGCGAGAACATCTTCATCGAGGGCGTGAACGACGCTGATGACTTCAAGAAGACCAGAGAGGCCTTAACTATGCTAGGTGACCTGTTAGTGGAGAAACCCGTAATATAACACCTGTTAGTGGAGAAACCCGTAATATAACACCTGTTAGTGGAGAAAACTTGAATATAACTATAATGTATATTTTGTGTTTATGTGTTTTTTCAGGGATAAAGGAAAGCAGTCAGAGCAGCATCTTCAAAGTGGTGGCATCCATCCTTCACCTCGGGAACATCGAGATCTGCGCAGAGCGAGACGGAGAGTCGTGTCACGTGTCGGTACGTTAGCATCAGCTGCTGTCAGGTGTCTCTACGTTAGCATCAGCTGTTGTCAGGTGTCTGTACGTTAACATCAGCTGCTGTCAGGTGTCTCTACGTTAGCATCAGCTGTTGTCAGGTGTCTGTACGTTAGCATCAGCTGTTGTCAGGTGTCTCTACGTTAGCATCAGCTGTTGTCAGGTGTCTCTACGTTAGCATCAGCTGCTGTCAGGTGTCTGTACGTTAGCATCAGCTGCTGTCAGGTGTCTGTACGTGCTGCTGTCAGGTGTCTCTACGTTAGCATCAGCTGCTGTCAGGTGTCTCTACGTTAGCATCAGCTGCTGTCAGGTGTCTCTACGTTAGCGCCAGCTGGCCTCACATGTCTCTACGTTAGCGTCAGCTGGCCACGTGTCGGTATGTTAGCATCATGTGTGGTCCAGGTTAGCGTTGTCAGCTAACGGGGCTCTTTGTTGCAGAGGGACGACCTCCACCTGCAGCACTTCAGCCGGCTGCTGGGCGTGGAGCTGCAGCAGATGGAGCACTGGCTCTGTCACAGGAAGCTGGTCACCTCATCGGAGACGTACCTGAAGACGATGTCCAAGAAGCAGGCGGAGAACGCCCGCAATGCACTCGCCAAACACATCTACGCCCGCATGTTCGACTGGATCGTGGAGCACATCAACAAAGTCCTGCAGAGCTCGTCCAAACAGCACTCGTTCATCGGAGTGCTCGACATCTACGGGTGATTCCTCTGAATGATTACATGACCATAATAACCAATGATCTGTGACGGTCAGATCCTGGACCAATTCATATTTGACCAATTCAGTTTGTTTTTGTGTGTCTTTTGTTTGATTTTGCTGCAGCTTTGAGACGTTCGAGGTCAACAGTTTTGAGCAGTTCTGCATCAACTACGCCAACGAGAAACTTCAGCAGCAGTTCAACTCTGTGAGCCTCTTTACAACCTGCAGGGTGTTTCTGAATCATACAGATGAAGTTATGATTTGTGCAGTTTGAGCCTCTGTTTCTTTAGATATCCTGCAGTATGGTTCTGATATCTGGTTTATATCTGAAGGTGTTATATAGTGTTAGTTATGTTATCATACAGATATCTGAAGGTGTTATATAGTGTTAGTTATGTTATCATACAGATATCTGAAGGTGTTATATAGTGTTAGCTCTGGTATGGTACAGATATCTGAAGGTGTTATATAGTGTTATGTTATCATACAGATATCTGAAGGTGTTATATAGTGTTAGTTCTGTTATCATACAGATATCTGAAGGTGTTATATAGTGTTAGTTCTGTTATCATACAGATATCTGAAGGTGTTATATAGTGTTAGTTATGTTATGGTACAGATATCTGAAGGTGTTATATAGTGTTAGTTATGTTATGGTACAGATATCTGAAGGTGTTATATAGTGTTATGTTATGGTACAGATATCTGAAGGTGTTATATAGTGTTAGTTATGTTATGGTACAGATATCTGAAGGTGTTTTATAGTGTTAGTTATGTTATGGTATAGATATCTGAAGGTGTTATATAGTGTTAGTTATGTTATGGTACAGATATCTGAAGGTGTTATATAGTGTTATGTTATGGTACAGATATCTGAAGGTGTTATATTGTGTTAGTTCTGTTATCATACAGATATCTGAAGGTGTTATATAGTGTTAGCTCTGGTATGGTACAGATATCTGAAGGTGTTATATAGTGTTAGTTATGTTATGGTACAGATATCTGAAGGTGTTATATAGTGTTAGTTATGTTATCATACAGATATCTGAAGGTGTTATATAGTGTTAGCTCTGGTATGGTACAGATATCTGAAGGTGTTATATAGTGTTATGTTATCATACAGATATCTGAAGGTGTTATATAGTGTTAGTTCTGTTATCGTACAGATATCTGAAGGTGTTATATAGTGTTAGTTATGTTATGGTACAGATATCTGAAGGTGTTATATAGTGTTAGTTCTGTTATCATACAGATATCTGAAGGTGTTATATAGTGTTAGTTATGTTATGGTACAGATATCTGAAGGTGTTATATAGTGTTAGTTATGTTATGGTACAGATATCTGAAGGTGTTATATAGTGTTAGTTATGTTATGGTATAGATATCTGAAGGTGTTATATAGTGTTAGTTATGTTATGGTACAGATATCTGAAGGTGTTATATAGTGTTAGTATGGTACAGATATTGAGGTGTTATATAGTGTTAGTTATGTTATGGTATAGATATCTGAAGGTGTTATATAGTGTTAGTTATGTTATGGTACAGATATCTGAAGGTGTTATATAGTGTTAGTTATGTTATGGTATAGATATCTGAAGGTGTTATATAGTGTTAGTTCTGTTATGGTATAGATATCTGAAGGTGTTATATAGTGTTATGTTATGGTACAGATATCTGAAGGTGTTATATAGTGTTAGTTATGTTATGGTACAGATATCTGAAGGTGTTATATAGTGTTAGTTATGTTATGGTACAGATATCTGAAGGTGTTATATAGTGTTAGTTATGTTATGGTATAGATATCTGAAGGTGTTATATAGTGTTAGTTATGTTATGGTACAGATATCTGAAGGTGTTATATAGTGTTAGTTATGGTACAGATATCTGAAGGTGTTATATAGTGTTAGTTCTGTTATGGTATAGATATCTGAAGGTGTTATATAGTGTTATGTTATGGTACAGATATCTGAAGGTGTTATATAGTGTTAGTTATGTTATGGTATAGATATCTGAAGGTGTTATATAGTGTTAGTTCTGTTATGGTATAGATATCTGAAGGTGTTATATAGTGTTATGTTATGGTACAGATATCTGAAGATGTTATATAGTGTTAGTTATGTTATGGTATAGATATCTGAAGGTGTTATATAGTGTTAGTTATGTTATGGTACAGATATCTGAAGGTGTTATATAGTGTTAGTTATGTTATGGTACAGATATCTGAAGGTGTTATATAGTGTTAGTTATGTTATGGTACAGATATCTGAAGGTGTTATATAGTGTTAGTTATGTTATGGTACAGATATCTGAAGGTGTTATATAGTGTTAGTTATGTTATGGTACAGATATCTGAAGGTGTTATATAGTGTTAGTTATGTTATGGTACAGATATCTGAAGGTGTTATATAGTGTTAGTTATGTTATGGTACAGATATCTGAAGGTGTTATATAGTGTTAGTTCTGTTATGGTATAGATATCTGAAGGTGTTATATAGTGTTAGCTCTGTTATCATACAGATATCTGAAGGTATTATATAGTGTTATGTTATGGTACAGATATCTGAAGGTGTTATATAGTGTTATGTTATGGTACAGATATCTGAAGATACGATGTGTGTCCTCAGCATGTGTTCAAGCTGGAGCAGGAGGAGTACATGAAGGAGCTGATTCCCTGGACCCTGATAGACTTCTGCGATAACCAGCCGTGCATCGACCTGATCGAGGCCCGGCTGGGGATCCTGGACCTGCTGGACGAAGAGTGTAAAGTCAGTACTGGTGTTAGATTCACTTTTCATCTGTGTTGAATTATTGTTTGACAGACTTCACTTCCTGCTGGTGTTAACCAGCCACTTCCTGTTGTAGGTTCCCAAAGGCACGGACCAGAACTGGGCCCAGAAGCTGTACCAGAAACACTTGAGCAGCGCTCACTTCCAGAAGCCCCGCATGTCCAACACCTCCTTCATCATCAACCACTTTGCCGACAAGGTGCTCAGAAACACCCGTCGTGTCACACGTAAAACTGCTCTATAGACTGTTCATCTGGATGACATCTTATTATCATGTGGCTGTCAGGTGGAGTACGAGTGTGAAGGGTTCCTGGAGAAGAACCGAGACACCGTGTACGAGGAGCAGATCAACATCCTGAAGGCCAGCCAGGTAACAACAGAACCAGAACCACCGTCAGAACCAGGGTCAGAGCCAGAACCAGAGCCAGGGTCAGAACCAGGGTCAGAGTCATAACCAGGCTCAGAACAGGAACCAGAACCAGGGTTAAAACCATGGTCAGAACCAGGGTCAGAACCAGAACCAGGGTCAGAGTTAGAACCAGGGTCAGAACCAGATCCAGGTTCAGAACCAGAGCCAGGGTCAGAGTTAGAACCAGAACCAGGGTCAGAGTTAGAACCAGAACCAGGGTCAGAGTTAGAACCAGAACCAGGGTCAGAGTTAGAACCAGAACCAGGATCAGAGTTAGAACCAGAGTTAGAAACAGGGTCAGAACCAGGGTCAGAGTTAGAGTCAGAGTTAGAACCAGAACCAGGGTCAGAGTTAGAACCAGAGTTAGAACCAGGACCAGAACCAAGGTCAGAGTTAGAACCAGAACCAGGATCAGAGTTGGAACGAGAACCAGGGTCAGAGTTAGAACCATAGTTAGAACCAGGGTCAGAACCAGAACCAAGGTCAGAGTTAGAACCAGAACCAGGGTCAGAACCAGGGTCACACACACACACACACACACACACACACCCTGTTCCTCTCAGTTTCAGCTGGTTGCAGATCTGTTTAATGAGAAAGAGGACGTCGTCCCGAAGTCGTCCAGAGTGAACGTCCGACCGGCGAAGCCGACGCCTCGACCCGCGAACAAAGAGCACCGCAAGACCGTGGGCCACCAGGTACTCTGTGTACTTTATTATATATAACTATATACTATATACTGCCAGGTACTCTGTGTACTTTATTATATATAACTATATACTATATACTGCCAGGTACTCTGTGTACTTTATTATATTTAACTATATACTGTATATACATATACTATGTACTGCCAGGTACTCTGTGTACTTTATTATATTTAACTATATACTGTATACACATATACTATATACTGCCAGGTACTCTGTGTACTTTATTATATATAACTATATACTGTATACACATATACAATATACTGCCAGGTACACTAAATACACTCTGACGTGTTTCCTGACGTGTTTCCTGTGTTTTCAGTTCCGCAGTTCTCTTCGCATGCTCATGGAGACTCTGAATGCGACGACTCCTCATTACGTTCGCTGCATCAAACCGAACGATTACAAGGAGGCGTTCTCGTGAGTCCTCTCCTCTCTGTTATAGAAGTTGTGTTCTAGAAATACCCAGTTGTGTTCTAGCCCTATCAGAAACGTTGCTGTCAGAAACAATGAGACGTGTTCTGGAAGTAATATGGTCTGTGTTTACATTAGCATGCTAACACTCAGAGCTAACCTGTACTGGAGAGAGCATGTGTGAAGAAGCAGGAAATCAAAAGGAAGTCACCTTGTGGTAAACCTGAGAGAGAGAAAGAGTTTGAGCTCCATACTGTTTCAGAGAGGATCCTTCATGTGGTTTGGAACATGATATGGAGTTTCATCACGGCAGCATTTAGCTCAGTTTCTGCTGGGAGAGTTCTCCTGATGAGATCTACTCTCTCTCTAAAGCTACTGACCCAGAGTCAGCTCTTCATAGACATGTTTTTATATATTTGAGACCTATAATATATGCCTAAAATAGTATAATAGGAGACCTTTAAATCTTTTGAACAAGGTAAAGGTTATTCTCAGTCAACTGCAGCCCTACCTACACCAAAATAACATATTGGAAGTGTGTGTGTGTGTGTGTGTGTGTGTGTGTGTGTGTGTGTGTGTGTGTGTGTGTGTGTGTGTGTGTGTGTGTGTGTGTGTGTGTGTGTGTGTGTGTGTGTGTGTGTGTGTGTGTGTGTGTGTGTGTGTGTGTGTGTGTGTGTGTGTGTGTGTGTGTGTGGTGTGTGTGTGTGTGTGTGTGTGTGTGTGTGTGTGTGTGTGTGTGTGTGTGTGTGTGGTGTGTGTGTGTGTGTGTGTGTGTGTGTGTGTGTGTGTGTGTGTGTGTGTGTGTGTGTGTGTGTGTGTGTGTGTGTGTGTGTGTGTGTGTGTGTGTGTGTGTGTGTGTGGTGTGTGACGAGCAGCCTGCTGTTAGAGTCAGCCCCTGAACGCACCGCAGACAGGAAGAGAGAGGAAAGACGAGGCGTTCAGGGATAACCGCGCTTTATTAATGTGGTGATGTGATGATGATGATGTTGCAGGTTTGACTCAAAGCGAGCGGTGCAGCAGCTCAGAGCCTGTGGAGTCCTGGAGACGATCAGGATCAGTGCAGCGGGGTATCCATCCAGGTGAGAACTCTTCCTCCACTTCTTAATATCCAAAGAATACACAGTTGTGAAGTCAGGTGATAGCCAGCTAGACATGTAGCTAACGTTAGCTAGACATATAGCTAACGTTAGCTACAGACCCTAACCCATTTGTTAAACAGTTTTAAGTCAAATAACAAAATGAAATAAATGCTATAGATGTACCTTAGCACGAGTTAGCTCAGCTGTCAGTCATTTCTTTTTTAAATGAATGTTTATGACGCGCCTGCAGGTGGACGTACCCGGACTTCTTCAGCCGCTACCGGGTTCTGCTAAAGAAGTCAGACATGACATTAGCCGATAAGAAGCTGGTGTGTAAAAACCTGCTGGAGACGCTCATCAAGGTCAGGAACCTCGCTAATACTTGATGCTAATACCCGATGCTAACACACGTTTTCATATTGTCTTTATTACTTATAAATAGGCTTATTAATAAATATAAAGTGTGACCCCTGCTGTTCCTCAGGAGCCCGACATGTTCCAGTTCGGGAAGACGAAGATCTTCTTCCGGGCCGGCCAGGTAGCGTACCTGGAGAAGCTCCGAGCCGACAGGTTCCGCTCCGCCTGCATCCGGATCCAGAAGACGGTGCGCGGCTGGCTGCAGAGAGTCCGCTTCCTGAAGATCCGCAAGACCGCCGTCACGCTGCAGAGATACGGGAGGGGCTTCATGGCCCGCAGGTAACCTGACCCTGTAGTTCACCTGGAGTTCACCTGGAGATGTAGTTCACCTGGAGTTCACCTGTAGCTCACCTGTAGATGTAGTTCAGGTTTAGTTGTAGTTCATGTGTAGATGTAGTTCAGGTGTAGATGTAGTTCAGGGGTAGTTCAGGTGTAGTTGTAGTTCAGGTGTAGGTGTAGATGTAGTTCAGGTGTAGTTGTAGTTCAGGTGTAGTTCAGGTGTAGGTGTAGTTCAGGTGTAGTTGTAGTTCAAGTGTAGATGTAGTTCAGGTGTAGATGTAGTTCAGGTATAGTTCAAGTGTAGTTGTAGTTCAGGTGTAGTTGTAGTTCAAGTGTAGTTGTAGTTCATGTGTAGATGTAGTTCAGGTGTAGTTGTAGTTCAGGTGTAGTTCAGGGATAGATGTAGTTCAGGTGTAGTTGTAGTTCATGTGTAGATGTAGTTCATGTGTAGTTGTAGTTCAGGTGTAGTTCAGGTGTAGTTCATGTGTAGATGTAGTTTAAGTGTAGATGTAGTTCATGTGTAGTTGTAGTTCAGGTTTAGTTGTAGTTCATGTGTAGATGTAGTTCAGGTGTAGATGTAGTTCAGGGGTAGTTCAGGTGTAGTTGTAGTTCAGGTGTAGGTGTAGATGTAGTTCAGGTGTAGTTGTAGTTCAGGTGTAGTTCAGGTGTAGGTGTAGTTCAGGTGTAGTTGTAGTTCAAGTGTAGATGTAGTTCAGGTGTAGATGTAGTTCAGGTATAGTTCAAGTGTAGTTGTAGTTCAGGTGTAGTTGTAGTTCAAGTGTAGTTGTAGTTCATGTGTAGATGTAGTTCAGGTGTAGTTGTAGTTCAGGTGTAGTTGTAGTTCATGTGTAGTTGTAGTTCAGGTGTAGTTCAGGTGTAGTTCATGTGTAGATGTAGTTTAAGTGTAGATGTAGTTCAGGTGTAGTTGTAGTTCAGGTGTAGTTGTAGTTCATGTGTAGATGTAGTTCAGGTGTAGTTGTAGTTCAAGTGTAGATGTAGTTCAGGTGTAGATGTAGTTCAGGTATAGTTCAAGTGTAGTTGTAGTTCAGGTGTAGTTGTAGTTCAAGTGTAGTTGTAGTTCATGTGTAGATGTAGTTCAGGTGTAGTTGTAGTTCAGGTGTAGTTCAGGGATAGATGTAGTTCAGGTGTAGTTGTAGTTCATGTGTAGATGTAGTTCATGTGTAGTTGTAGTTCAGGTGTAGTTCAGGTGTAGTTCATGTGTAGATGTAGTTTAAGTGTAGATGTAGTTCATGTGTAGTTGTAGTTCAGGTGTAGTTGTAGTTCATGTGTAGATGTAGTTCAGGTGTAGTTGTAGTTCATGTGTAGTTCAGGTGTAGTTGTAGTTTAAGTGTAGATGTAGTTCAAGTGTAGTTGTAGTTCATGTGTAGTTCAGGTGTAGATGTAGTTCATGTGTAGTTCATGTGTAGTTGTAGTTCATGTGTAGTTCATGTGTAGATGTAGTTCATGTGTAGATGTAGTTCATGTGTAGATGTAGTTCATGTGTAGTTGTAGTTCAAGTGTAGTTGTAGTTCATGTGTAGATGTAGTTCATGTGTAGTTGTAGTTCATGTGTAGTTCATGTGTAGATGTAGTTCAGGTGTAGTTCAGGTGTAGTTGTAGTTCAGGTGTAGTTCAGGTGTAGATGTAGTTCAAGTGTAGTTGTAGTTCATGTGTAGATGTAGTTGTAGTTCAGGTGTAGTTGTAGTTCATGTGTAGTTCATGTGTAGTTCATGTGTAGTTCATGTGTAGTTCATGTGTAGATGTAGTTCATGTGTAGTTGTAGTTCATGTGTAGTTGTAGTTCAAGTGTAGTTGTAGTTCATGTGTAGATGTAGTTCATGTGTAGTTGTAGTTCAAGTGTAGTTGTAGTTCAAGTGTAGTTGTAGTTCATGTGTAGATGTAGTTCATGTGTAGATGTAGTTCATGTGTAGTTGTAGTTCAAGTGTAGTTGTAGTTCATGTGTAGATGTAGTTCATGTGTAGTTGTAGTTCATGTGTAGTTCATGTGTAGATGTAGTTCAGGTGTAGTTCAGGTGTAGTTGTAGTTCAGGTGTAGTTGTAGTTCAGGTGTAGATGTAGTTCAAGTGTAGTTGTAGTTCATGTGTAGATGTAGTTGTAGTTCAGGTGTAGTTGTAGTTCATGTGTAGTTCATGTGTAGTTCATGTGTAGTTCATGTGTAGATGTAGTTCAGGTGTAGTTGTAGTTCATGTGTAGTTCATGTGTAGTTCATGTGTAGTTCATGTGTAGATGTAGTTCATGTGTAGTTGTAGTTCATGTGTAGTTCAGGTGTAGATGTAGTTCATGTGTAGTTGTAGTTCAAGTGTAGTTGTAGTTCAGGTGTAGTTCATGTGTAGATGTAGTTCATGTGTAGTTGTAGTTCATGTGTAGTTGTAGTTCAAGTGTAGTTCATGTGTAGATGTAGTTCATGTGTAGTTGTAGTTCATGTGTAGTTGTAGTTCATGTGTAGTTCATGTGTAGTTGTAGTTCATGTGTAGTTCAGGTGTAGATGTAGTTCATGTGTAGATGTAGTTCATGTGTAGTTGTAGTTCATGTGTAGTTCATGTGTAGATGTAGTTCAGGTGTAGTTCAGGTGTAGTTGTAGTTCAGGTGTAGTTCAGGTGTAGATGTAGTTCAAGTGTAGTTGTAGTTCATGTGTAGATGTAGTTGTAGTTCAGGTGTAGATGTAGTTCATGTGTAGTTCATGTGTAGATGTAGTTCATGTGTAGTTGTAGTTCATGTGTAGTTGTAGTTCAAGTGTAGTTGTAGTTCATGTGTAGATGTAGTTCATGTGTAGTTGTAGTTCAAGTGTAGTTGTAGTTCAAGTGTAGTTGTAGTTCATGTGTAGATGTAGTTCATGTGTAGATGTAGTTCATGTGTAGTTGTAGTTCAAGTGTAGTTGTAGTTCATGTGTAGATGTAGTTCATGTGTAGTTGTAGTTCATGTGTAGTTCATGTGTAGATGTAGTTCAGGTGTAGTTCAGGTGTAGTTGTAGTTCAGGTGTAGTTGTAGTTCAGGTGTAGATGTAGTTCAAGTGTAGTTGTAGTTCATGTGTAGATGTAGTTGTAGTTCAGGTGTAGTTGTAGTTCATGTGTAGTTCATGTGTAGTTCATGTGTAGTTCATGTGTAGATGTAGTTCAGGTGTAGTTGTAGTTCATGTGTAGTTCATGTGTAGTTCATGTGTAGTTCATGTGTAGATGTAGTTCATGTGTAGTTGTAGTTCATGTGTAGTTCAGGTGTAGATGTAGTTCATGTGTAGTTGTAGTTCAAGTGTAGTTGTAGTTCAGGTGTAGTTCATGTGTAGATGTAGTTCATGTGTAGTTGTAGTTCATGTGTAGTTGTAGTTCAAGTGTAGTTCATGTGTAGATGTAGTTCATGTGTAGTTGTAGTTCATGTGTAGTTGTAGTTCAAGTGTAGTTCATGTGTAGATGTAGTTCATGTGTAGATGTAGTTCATGTGTAGTTGTAGTTCATGTGTAGTTGTAGTTCATGTGTAGTTCATGTGTAGATGTAGTTCATGTGTAGTTGTAGTTCAAGTGTAGTTGTAGTTCAGGTGTAGTTCATGTGTAGATGTAGTTCATGTGTAGATGTAGTTCATGTGTAGTTGTAGTTCAAGTGTAGTTCATGTGTAGATGTAGTTCATGTGTAGATGTAGTTCATGTGTAGTTGTAGTTCATGTGTAGTTGTAGTTCATGTGTAGTTCATGTGTAGATGTAGTTCATGTGTAGTTGTAGTTCATGTGTAGTTGTAGTTCAGGTGTAGTTCATGTGTAGATGTAGTTCATGTGTAGTTGTAGTTCAAGTGTAGTTGTAGTTCATGTGTAGATGTAGTTGTAGTTCAGGTGTAGTTGTAGTTCAGGTGTAGTCCAGGTGTAGATGTAGTTCAAGTGTAGTTGTAGTTCAAGTGTAGTTGTAGTTCATGTGTAGATGTAGTTCATGTGTAGTTGTAGTTCATGTGTAGTTCATGTGTAGATGTAGTTCATGTGTAGTTCATGTGTAGTTGTAGTTCATGTGTAGTTCATGTGTAGATGTAGTTCATGTGTAGTTCATGTGTAGATGTAGTTCATGTGTAGTTGTAGTTCATGTGTAGTTCATGTGTAGATGTAGTTCATGTGTAGTTCATGTGTAGATGTAGTTCATGTGTAGTTGTAGTTCATGTGTAGTTCATGTGTAGATGTAGTTCATGTGTAGTTGTAGTTCATGTGTAGTTCATGTGTAGATGTAGTTCATGTGTAGTTCATGTGTAGATGTAGTTCATGTGTAGTTCATGTGTAGTTGTAGTTCATGTGTAGATGTCATGTTTCATGTATTCATGTGTAGTTCATGTGTAGATGTAGTTCATGTGTAGTTGTAGTTCATGTGTAGTTTCATGTGTAGATGTAGTTCATGTGTAGTTCATGTGTAGATGTAGTTCATGTGTAGTTGTAGTTCATGTGTAGTTGTAGTTCATGTGTAGTTCATGTGTAGATGTAGTTCATGTGTAGTTCATGTGTAGTTGTAGTTCATGTGTAGATGTAGTTCATGTGTAGATGTAGTTCATGTGTAGTTGTAGTTCATGTGTAGTTCATGTGTAGATGTAGTTCAAGTGTAGATGTAGTTCATGTGTAGATGTAGTTCATGTGTAGTTGTAGTTCATGTGTAGTTGTAGTTCATGTGTAGTTCATGTGTAGATGTAGTTCAAGTGTAGATGTAGTTCATGTGTAGTTGTAGTTCAGGTGTAGATGTAGTTCATGTGTAGTTGTAGTTCAAGTGTAGTTGTAGTTCATGTGTAGATGTAGTTGTAGTTCAGGTGTAGTTGTAGTTCAGGTGTAGTCCAGGTGTAGATGTAGTTCAAGTGTAGTTGTAGTTCATGTGTAGTTCAGGTGTAGATGTAGTTCATGTGTAGTTGTAGTTCATGTGTAGATGTAGTTTAAGTGTAGATGTAGTTCAAGTGTAGTTGTAGTTCAGGTGTAGATGTAGTTTAAGTGTAGATGTAGTTCAAGTGTAGTTGTAGTTCAGGTGTAGATGTAGTTTAAGTGTAGATGTAGTTCAAGTGTAGTTGTAGTTCATGTGTAGATGTAGTTTAAGTGTAGATGTAGTTCAAGTGTAGTTGTAGTTCAGGTGTAGATGTAGTTTAAGTGTAGATGTAGTTCAAGTGTAGTTGTAGTTCAGGTGTAGATGTAGTTTAAGTGTAGTTGTAGTTCAGGTGTAGATGTAGTTCATGTGTAGATGTAGTTGTAGTTCAAGTGTAGTTGTAGTTCAGGTGTAGATGTAGTTTAAGTGTAGATGTAGTTCAAGTGTAGTTGTAGTTCAGGTGTAGATGTAGTTCATGTGTAGTTGTAGTTCAGGTGTAGTTCAGGTGTAGATGTAGTTCATGTGTAGTTCATGTGTAGATGTAGTTCATGTGTAGATGTAGTTCAGGTGTAGATGTAGTTCATGTGTAGTTGTAAACGTCATCTCCCTAATGCTTTTATTTGTTTAGGCATGCTGACTTCCTGCGGCAGACCCGCGCTGCGCTCATCTGTCAGAAGCAGCTGCGCATGGTGAGAGACAGACAGGCTTTTCTGAGGGTGAGACGGGCGGCCGCCACCATCCAGGCCTTCACCCGCGGCATGTTCACTCGCCGCATCTTCAAGGAGGTAAGCACTTCCTGTCTCCTTCAGAGTAAGAGCCTCCTCCTGCACAGAGGGTTTCCTGTTTCACTGTCATGTGACCTCACCACCGTCACGTGACCTCACCACAGTCACGTGACCTGATCCTTGGTGTTCCTCCTGGTTCTCCTCAGTTCCTCCTGCACCACAAGGCGATGATCATCCAGCGGTGCGTTCGAGGCTGGCTGCAGCGCAGGAAGTTCCAGCGCTCGCGGGCAGCGGCCATCACGCTGCAGTGTGCCTTCAGGTGCGTGCGGGCGAAGCGGCGCGTGCAGCAGCTGAAGGCGGAGGCGCGCTCAGCGCAGCACCTGAAGAAGCTCAACAGCGGCATGGAGAACAAGATCGTGCAGCTGCAGAGGAAGATGGACGACAAGGTGAGTCTCCAGGTAGATATCATTATTCAGATGAATAATAATGCTAACGCTAACACTGCGGCAGTCCAAGGAGCAGCGCTTCCAGAACGAGCAGCTGCTGCAGGTGAACTCCTCTCTGGGCGGAGAGGTGAAGCTGCTGCAGAAGAAGCTGCAGGAGGTGAGCAGCCTGCAGCAGGGCGGGGGGGGGCAGCTGGCCTCGCTGCATGACGAGCTGCAGAGACTCAGAGAGGAGCTGCAGGAGGCGCATGCTCTCAGGGGGAAGCTGCAGGAGGAGCATGCTAACGAGAAGCAGGGGCTAACACAGGTGAGGACACACACACACACTGAAACACTGAAGCCTACACACACACTCAAACATCATCATCATCACACGTTATCATGATCACAACATTACTGTGTGCGTGTTCGTGTGTGTGTGTGCGTGTGTGTGTGTGTGTGTGTGTCAGAGGGTGGAGGAGCTGCAGAAGGAGAACTCTCTGCTGAAAAGCGAGAAGGAGGAGATGAACCAGAAGATCTTGAAGCTGACACGGAGCTCTGCAGGTCAGACACTCACGCACTGTTATAACATGGTTATTACACTGTTGTAACGTGGTTAGAATACAGTGGTTATTACTCCATGTCAAGGTTCAAGGCTTTTATTGGTAAGTGTAGTAACGTGTTATTACTCTATGATGAGTGTACTAACGTGTTATTACTCTATGATGAGTGTACTAACGTGTTATTACTCCATGATGAGTGTAGTAACGTGTTATTACTCTATGATGAGTGTAGTAACGTGTTATTACTCTATGATGAGTGTAGTAACGTGTTATTACTCTATGATGAGTGTACTAACGTGTTATTACTCTATGATGAGTGTACTAACGTGTTATTACTCTATGATAAGTGTAGTAACGTGTTATTACTCTATGATAAGTGTAGTAACTTGTTATTACTCTCCATTACTTTTTGTGTCCAGAGGAGGGCAGCAGAGCTTCGCTGCAGGAGGAGTTGGATGAGGAGCGGCTGAGATACCAGAACCTTCTGAAGGAGGTCTCCAGACTGGAGCAGAAATACGAGAACCTGAAGGAGGAGCAGTCCTTCAGCAAGGTAGCTGCTAACAAGCTAACATGCTAACAAGCTAACATGCTAACAAAGAGAACTTTAATGTTTACAGTGAACCTGTGGCATAAGGCAGTCCCTAAGCAAGGTAGCTGCTAACAAAATAGCATAAATATTGAATAACATTTATAATGATGTATATTATATTCACGCAGTTTGCCCCCGGGCACCGCAGAGACGCCTCGACTCTGAGCAGCCAGGAGTCGGACTCCAACTACACCTCCATCTCCACGTCAGAGCTGGGAGACACCGAGGACACCCTGCAGCACGTGGAGGTTAGGGATGCCAGCGATTATTCGATTTTTTGAATATTCGTTACAGTCTCCATAATCGAACATTATTTTTCAAATTCGATTTTATTTATATAAATTTTTATTATTATTTATGTTTTTCTTTTTTTTCCTGGCTTAGTTTCAACCAAAATATAGACTAATGCTAGTGTGCTAATAGTATGAATAATTGTAAATGGCCATTGGTCACACCACCAGCTTGTTTTACTGTAAACTTGGAGGAAGCCAGCAGCGCAGGCTGCGCAGAGTGCAGACTGCTACACACCGACCCCCCCCCCCCCCCCCCCTATATATACCCTTACCCTGCAGCACGTGGAGGTGTGTATTAGTATATATATCAGTATATATTGTGTGTATTTGTACAGGATGTGGGTGTGGAGGCAGCAGCTCTGGACCTCTCGGTGTTCCTGAAGCTGCAGCGCCGGGTCAGAGACCTGGAGACAGAGAGAGGGAGGCTGCAGCAGCAGCTGGAGCGGGGGGGCGAGCACAGGGTCTGTATATATACACTATCTTTACTGCATATATATATATATATATATATATATGTACTACTACTACTACTACTACTACAGTCCCTCTGTCCTCTATATGAATATATGTGTTCCTCTGCAGAGCTCTGAGGCCCCGCCTCTCTCTGAGCAGGACGCTGCGGACCTCACATACACCAGCCTCAAGGTGTGTGTGTGTGTGTGTGTGTGTGTGTGTGTGTGTGTGTGTGTGTGTGTGTGTGTGTGTGTGTGTGTGTGTGTGTGTGTGTGTGTGTGTGTGTGTGTGTGTGTGTGTGTGTGTGTGTGTTTGTGTGTGTGTGTGTGTGTGTGTGTGTGTGTGTGTGTGTGTGTGTGTGTGTGTGTGTGTGTGTGTGTGTGTGTGTGTGTGTGTGTGTGTGTGTGTGTGTGTGTGTGTGTGTTAACCCTTGTATAATGTGTAGCTGCAGGACGTCGAGGTGGAGAACCTGAAGCTCAGGAAGGATCTCCTCTCGCTCCAGAAGGCGGTCTCTGAGAGGGCGGGGCTTAGCGATCCCACCAATGAGCTGCAGGAGAGCCACGCCCTGCTTATGTCTCAGCTGCGCTCAGCCAATGAGGAGCTGGAGGCTCGAAAGGAGGAGGTGCTTATTCTGAGGACACAGATCATAAGCTCCGCCCACAAGGAGCAGAGCCCCGCCCACCAGAAGGAGCA